ACAGAGTAAGACACACCACCTCCAAGCAAGATGATAATGCTACCAAGACGCAAAGTGAAACCGGAAGTGAAAAGAGAGGGAAAAATACTTCAAAAGAAACCAGAAACGTAATCGTAAACAGGTAACAAGGGATACATCTCTACTCACGTTCTTTTGAACTTCGGGGAGGTGTGTGAAGGAAAACATGTAGGGGTGGTCTCAATTTAACCCGTACATTTTTTAATTTACAAATATGTCAGCAAACGAAAAGCAAGAAAAACAGCACAAAACTCTTTTTTTTTTTATAATAACAATCTTCATTTTACTGTACGATAAAGCAATCAAGTGTGTGATTTTTATATAGTAACAGATCAAATTAATAGCAGGAGTTATTTCCCTTTAAATGTTATTTGAATTAGTTAAGATTTTAAGGAATATATAGTTTTATCTGGATTCACAGAAATTTCTCTTGCTTGTAGTTGATAAGTTAAGAGATGTTCAATGTTCGTGTGTACGCGTGTGAACATATGTATGTACGTGACATAGCGTCTTCTCATCAGGGACGGACGTATACTCCTCATTGAACTACATAGTTGTCGTTCTGAAAAAAAAAAACAGAGAAAAAAAGAGAAATTGTTGAAAATGTCGCTTGGTATTTATAATGTTGGAAGTCACGTGATAGGCTCCAGAAACATCGACAGATTTTTGGCGAAATTGTATTTTCGTTCAGGTCAGAAACTAGGTCGATACAATTCGGGCGTAGTTGAAAACATGATATTAGTATTAATCGACCAATCAGGAGTCAGAGTAATATCAAGTCTTTGTGATCCACTTTTTGCACAAAATTGAATAAGATATTTGAAATGATGTAGAATTAAAATTCTACAAATCTATATACTCCTATTGAGGAAGCCAAAAAATGTAAATAAATAGTAAATAAATGTCAGGGTTTAGGCGGAGACGTTAGAAATATAGAGTTGATTAGGGGCAACGGTTCGTCTCGTGGCAAAGATAGTAATGTATGTCATACCGGTGACCGAGTGTGTTTTTCGAGATTTGCTTTACGAATGCTATTTTTATTAAGTGGATGTATGCAAGTCTAACAGCAATCGACAAAGAATGTTGTATCGGCCAACCGATTTCAACTTCCGGTTGAATCTTTTGTATTCAGTTCATACTAACACGGAAAATTCTTCCAATAATGCAGAAATCTCAGAACACTATGATAACGTGACGAAATGCTGTAGCTAAAAACAAAACAAAACAAACAAAAAAACGAACCATTCAAATAATAGCAGAATATTACTTCAAGTTCAATCTTGCTAAACTTTCACATCCATTAACTTTATAATTATAACTCACTTCCTTTGATATGCTTTCTATCCTCTTAAATACCTTTCTACTAATCTATCTTTGATTATGATTCTTAAAATGTTTTTGCACATATATAATACTAGTAATAGTATCAGATAAATTGATTTACATCCACACTTAATCTACAAGTTATACGGTCCGACAATCGGTCAAAATTTCTTTATAAAATTTATATTAATACCCCATATTTTTATATACCATTCTACTTATATCTTACATTCTGAATTAAAACTTATTGTTTGAAAAAAACAAACAAATAACTTATGTATTCAACATAACAAGTAAAAACCTCCACCTCTTAATTTATTAATTTATAAAATACATTCATTGATTACGAGATTAGTAACAATAATTGCAGCCTAAATATACGCAATTCTGGTCTGGCTTCGTTTTAAAGATACCAAAAATATTTCCAATTATTACTATAAGCATCGTTTTGAACTTATCCCTCCTTCCTCTTTCACCGTCTTACTCTCCCTTATTCTCAGCTTTCCTTCCTCCACCCCTCACTCTTAGGAGGCCTTGACCGTTGTTGTCGATTAAAAAAATAATAATTTTCGGTTCGAGCCATCACTTTAACACAAACAGATATCAACAAACACTATTGTTTCACTCTCTCACCCTTTTACATGTCCTATTTTTATTTATCCTGATACACCCCCTCTTAAAATATACCTATTTTTTTCCCCAAAAATTGAAAAAAAGGAAGTGATGTTCCATGTGCGGCCTGCTTACAAATTGTTCATAACCATTTTGGTTGTCACCAGTCGTGGTGCAACTAAATGCACCGGAACGAAGTTGCATCTTTGTCGTGTTAAATTGTTTTTTAATAGAAAAATGATTATATATATATATATATATATATATATATATATATATATATATATATATATTACGATAAACGTGCAATCAATTTATAAATTCATGAATTATTCAAAAAACAAATGCAAAGGTGAATGATTTAATTGGCGAGAAATCCATCGTCGCAAACAATTCAAATAATATACAAAAAACCTCTGAATCCGTTTATGAATGAAAAGATCCTTGTTTCTATAAATTTCTGCCGTATTAGTTCTTATTTTTACTACAAGCTTTCGTCTGTTCCTACAGACATCTTCAGGTATGGAATAGATGTTGTTCTTGTTTT